GGGGGAGGGAGGGGTTCTCCAACAGCACTCTTTACAGTGAGGATGGTGTGCTGTTGACCTCAACTTATCGGGCTCTCCAATCTCTGGGGCTGAAGTCATTGAGGTTGTTAAAAGGCATCTTGGTGGCAGGGCTCCGGGGGTGAATGTGATTAGGCTGGAGTTTGCATAGACATCGGGGGCAGTTCTGCTGGATTGGCAGACCGGGGTGGTTGTCCCCCGGTCTGCCAATTCCCCCCCTTATTCTAAAAGGGGCCAGGTGTTGAAGGTATACGTCTTGGTGCCCTTACGATTGCATCTCTGCTTTTCGCAGATGATATGGTCCTATTGGCTTCATCGAGTCCGGCTGCTCTCGCTGGAAGGGTTCGCAGCCGCGTCTGAAGTTGCTGGGATGAGGATCAGTGCCTCTATGTTCGGGCTTGTGATCTTTCACTGGAAAAGGGTAGAGTGCGTCCTCCGGGTCGGGGTGGATGTCCTTCCCCAAGTGGAGTTCAAGTATCTCACGGTCTTGTTTGCAGTTGGGGGTAAGGAGTGGGAGATCTACAGTGTCAGCAGTAATGCGAGCATTGTACCGGTCTGTTGTGAGATAGAGAGAGCCGAGCTTAAAATCAAGCTCTCGATTTATCAGTCGATCTATGTTCCTACCCTTATCCATGGTCACAAACTTTGGGTGGGGACTGAAAGAATGAGATCGCGGATATAGGTTTCTTCCGCAAGGTGGCTGGGCTCTTCCCTAGAGATAGGGTGAAAGCTTGGGCATCCGGGAGGGGCTCAGAGTAGAACCACTGCTCTTCCACGTTGAAAAGACCCAGTTGAGGTGGCTCGGGCATCTCATTAGGATGCCTCCTGGTCGCCTCCCTTCCCACTGGGAGGAGGCCCAGGGATGACCCAGGACACGCTGGAGGAACTATGTCTCTCGGCTGGCCTGGGAATGCCTCAGGACCCCCCCAGAGGATGGATGGAACAAGTGAAAACTTGTCTTTTTAATTAAGTGATAAATTGTAGCCATCACATCATGCCATGTGCAGTGATTTGCAGTTTAGGCTCATCCTAAAAAATGAATAAGTCCAAAGATGGCAATTACCTTGCTTGTCATTACAGCAGGATTGGGCAACTCCGGGCCTTGAGGGCCGCTGTCCTGTAGGTTTTAGAGGTGCCCCTGCATATACACACCTGATTTTCATCTACACATCAGCAGTCCTGTTCAGAGCTGAATCATATTTAGAAAATATCAGTTTAATCTGAATCAGGTGTGTAGCAGCAGGGAAACATCTAAAACCTGCAGGACAGTGGCTCTTGAGGCCTGGAGTTGCCCACCCCTGCATTACAGTCTCTGATTTACCATCCATTATCCACTGAAGTCAGTTTTGTTTTCCTCTAACTGAAAAGAAAAAGCTACTTGCTTAAGAAGCAGTGGTGAGATAATTGTGCTCTTACACTTACTGATGCTGCTGCACAGTCAGTGACCATTTCTGCCAGTTTTTAATGCATATGGTACACTTTATAGTCACATTTGAAAGAAATGTCCTGCCTATGATTATAAGTAATATGAACATCGTATAGATCGTGTATCACGTGGAAAATTATTATACATTTATTTGTACGGCCAGATCTGGCCTCTACTGGTATGTAGAATGCATTTATAAACCATTCCTTATTATTAAGCTGTGTAATTATTAGTTTGAACATAGTTCTTAGCTTTGACCATAACTAAATTGTGAAAGAGGGAGAGGGTAAACAATAAACGTACATCCTCTATGCTAAAAGAATTTAAGAATTTGGGTTAACGGGTTAAGAATAAAAGGGAGAGAGATAAGAAATAGAATGATGATATGAGACAGGGACAAACGACTTCAAATGTAGAAAATAAGTAAAGGCCAAGAAAATTCAACAAAGCCTCTGATAGGCATTTATCCTGTTAAGTGGGCAGCTGCTTCTCTGACAGCATAGGGTGTGCTACTGTACATTTTATGTGCTCATCTCACATTCCCAGTTTCATAATATAAATCTCCAGCCCACTCATTCAGCCTCCCCAGACCTCCCATTATAATTACAACTGGTTTGTGGCAGTGCTTCCACAGTGGCATCTGCAAAATGTCTCTTTTATTCACACGACCCATCGGTCTGCAGGTCTGTTCTTCTGCCAACAGGCTACTGTGTAAGAGAATTCTCAGACACTGATGAAGCAGAATCAAAACCAAAGGACTGATAGAACAGGGTTTTTATTAGTGCATCTGAAAATTAAATATGTGTTTGTGACATTCTGCATTTTCACCGTGGAATGTAGACTTGGAACGTGTCTGTTTACAAACCATTGTCTTTGAGTGGGAGATGTGATTTTGGCCACTTCATGATAATCTTTTGAAAACTGAAAAAAACTCTCAGTTAACAAAATTCACTGGCACCATAGTAATGAGACTCTATAGACAAACAAAACTACATTTGTGTTTTGCATAGCTCTTTTGAGGGGAAACCCATATTTTATTGATTTTTTTTTAGCTCTCTGGACAATAAAGGCAGTAATTAAACCAGGCTTCATCATGTTGTGCTAGTGTGTAGCAAATTTTTTTTACTCAGCTTAGCTTTTTGCCATCAACTGAGAGTGCCTGGGCAATGGACTTTTTTCAAATTAGATTTTAACTCTGAACAATCAGGACAACCCTTTTCTGAAAGCAGAAAATCGAGGGAGCTTTAGTGATATTGTGTACTATGTGTAACGTGTTACTCAATCTCTTCTATTTGCTTGGAAAAATATTTATATTAAAGAATTAAAGGTATCTATTTTCCAGTTATGTAAGGCTGAGTTTGTGGTTTTATTTCTTTAAGGAAAACATTTTAATCATTTTGCAAATGGAATATTGATTTGTCTTTTCCCAAAGAGAAAACTTGGCAAAAGTTTTCCTTCAATTGGAAACAGCAAAAACAATTTTCGATAGACAGAAGAATCATTGAGGAAAATAAAGAGGACTTATTTTTCTTCAATTTCTTTTAATGATTCTCTGTAACTTAACTTAAGCATATGAACCTTATAATATGCTGACATGCTTATATTGATTGTTTTAACCTTCCTATGGTGTTAGGGTCCCGGTGGACCCGTTTTGAGTTTTAACATGCATAAAAGCACTTCATACATTTGTTTTTTGAGTTGAAACTTTTTGACTTTGTCAGGGACTTACATTTAAACAAAGTAAAATCTTTTTTTTTTTTTTTACTAAATTATAAAGTGCTCTGGTGAAAAAAATGACTTCTGTGGTGTTCGGGTCATTTGTGACCCGGTTAAAATTTTCTATTATAAAACAATAAAAAATGCCCAAAATTAAAACATGAACACACAGTCAACCAACAGCCTCTTCCTCCAACCACTTGAGCTTCATTTAGGGGCTTTTCTCTTTGCCTTTTTGCAAGAACAAACAAAGGGAGACATGTCCAGGCTTGTCAAGCCATTTGAGTGTAGAGGTGGTGACTTGCAGAGTACACATCTCCAATTCACAGGATGCAACAATGAGGAGAAGATTAACTGTAAATTAAGCTTTGGATCACATTTTTGCTGCAAATGAGGCAGAGGACACACAGGATTTTAGCGATGGAGATGAGCAGGCCTCTGAGAACGGAGATGATGTGGAGTACCAATTGGAAGAAACAGACACAACTGATCAGTCTGAAGAGGAGGTCACTGCTGCTGAAGCTGCTCCTGCTGAATCATTCCAATCCAAAAGTGGCAACATCCGTTGGAACACAGTTCCTCCTGATGTGCATGGAAGGACAGCTGCTGCAAACATCATCAAAATGACCCCTGGGGTCACGAGGTTTGCTGTGACAAGAGTAAGTGACATCGAGACGTGCTTTGATCTTTTTTTGCCATTGTCACTAAAAAAAGTCATATTTGCTATGACAAACCTTGAGGGAAAAAAAGTCCATGGCAACACATGGAAAGACATTGATGAGACGTACCTGGAAGCCTACATTGGTGTTCTCCTCCTTGCTGGAGTTTACAGATCAAGCAATGAACACACTAAAAGTGTCACTTTTTGCAACACATGCATCTAAACACACACATACACACACAGGCATGTTCTTTGCACAGAGTATTGATAGAACAAGAACTTGATTCTTTTGATGTGATTTTCTCGATTGGTTTTTGTTTATTTATTTGCAAATTTTTGTTTTATTGTAAATTATTATTATTTATGACTGTTCTGTTTTTCATATTGTTAAATATTGTTTTAAAGTTCTATTGTGTGGGAAAAAAAGACTTGTTTTTGCCCTTTTCTTGAAGCAAATATATACGGGTCCAAAATGACCCGAAACACCATAGACGTTACTATATTTGATGATATTAAAATTAAAAAAAATTTTTTGTTGAACATTTAAAGAATTTGTTTTAATATCTCTCAGTTACACTCAGGTAACAGAACAACTGATTATTTTGTTGCCTTCTACTCTTAAGGTTCATTTGACCACTTTTATGACATTGAAAACGAGGGGTATGCTGTTAAAACAAAGGCCCAGGGGGCCACAAAAAAATATTAATACCAATCTTTTCATGGATAAGGGAGCCCAACCAGCTAAACAAGAGTTAAGAAAACATTGGATGATAAAATATTGTTTTTAGGGTATTTTATGGCTGATTTAATACACGGGTCCAAAATGACCCGCTAACACTACAGATGGCAGCAGAAAGCTAATACCAGAGGAAGGTTAAACAATAATATTTTCCATGCTTTCTTTTTAACAATGGTGCTTCGGAGAAAATTAAAAGTCAAATGAGAAGAAGAGTACACGTATAAGAAACTATTTAAACTACAGATGTTTGTACATAATGGATGTATTTAATTCAATTTGTTGATGGAAACACCGGAAACATCTCTATGGCTCCATTTATACCCCACAATCTAATCAGAAAGGGATCCGTATTATTAATAGTAATTTATAGATTGTTTATTTCATATTAATTTGCTATGTTGTGCTGGTAATGTGATTTCCCTCTTTCTATGTGTGTCCAGACCAATGATGTCGTTGGAAACACATGGAACTGGCTCTACTTCATCCCACTCATTATCATCGGCTCCTTTTTTATGCTCAATCTGGTGCTTGGTGTCTTATCAGGGTGAGTATTCTCAATTGAGCAATGTAAAATTTCCAAGATTATATTAATGTAAAATAACTGTTGTACAAAAGTTGACTTGAGAGAAAAATACGTACATTTTTTATTCTTCATTCGTTTCTTCATTTTCATCTTACTCAACAGCCAGTATAAATTTTTATATTTGATTTGCATTCAGATGTCATGAACACTAAGAGCTGTGTATCTTATAAAATAGCTTATTTTACTGTATTACTCACAGTAGGTAGTGGGTCAATGAGTGAATGTTTTTTGAAAAGCAACACTTTGGAAAATATTTTTCCACAAAAATGTATTTATAAGACTGAGGACATGAGAACGGAAATTAACTGGATGGATCACTGTTGGAATATTTTTGGTCACACACACTACGCTTAATCAACAACTTTAGTCAATTCCAACCCATAGTGTTGGAGTGAGATTTATGGCTTTTTAAAAAAGTACTGTTTTGAAGGGGAACTGGATTCATCTGGAATATTTGTCTGTTACTCCAGTCCAAACTACTTCTGCTCCTTTAACCTCAATTTACCACATACTGCTTTGATACTCTGCTTATATTGGACATGTACTGTATGTAACATATTTACATGTATAAATATTTGTTTGAAGTGCATCTGTTTTAACTCTCTGGAAGGTTGAACATTTCAATAGATGATGATTTATTGATAGTATTCCCATCGGCTTTTTCCTCACTTTTATCCTTAATAGTTGTCAAACTTTCACCGTCCAACGTATAAGGATCTAAAGTCTATCAGGCGAATGTCAAAAACTTTACTTTAACTGCTGTTTATGTCTAAATGTAGAATCCAAAACTCATATGATTAAAGGTTAATGCGGTTTATTCTGTCTATGGATGAAAAAAATTCTGTCTCGACAGAGAATTTGCTAAAGAGCGAGAACGTGTGGAGAAGAGGCAGGAGTTCCTTAAGCTTCGCCGACAGCAGCAGATTGAGAGAGAGCTTACTGGATACTTGGAGTGGATCTGCAAAGCAGGTTTGGCTTATGTTTAAAAACGTCACTGGAGTGGGTGCTTTACAGTGTCAAAAAGTATGACAAATTCATAGAAAGCCTTTAAATTTTCTCTCGCTTTCCTGCTTCAGAGGAGGTTTTGCTGGAGGAAGAGGATGAGATTGCAGAGGAGAAGTCCCCGTTGGATAGTGCGTGGTACAAGAGGAAGCAAAACCTTTCAGGTGTGGGAAGGTCTGAGTTTCAGTTGGACATTCTACCATCAGTTTGTGAATCTGATGGCAAACCAAACACAGAGGGACAGTTCATCATTTGCAATTAATTTTTTTTCTTTACAGTGTTAAACTGCTGCACAGAAGTAATTCTGAAATCATGTAACATGGCTTCAAATATTTAAGTCAAAGCAGGATGTTTACAGTATCACAGAGAAAGAAAAATCCAACTTGACTTGTAGGTTAAGTGGAATTCGTCTATTGACAATACAGGTGTAGGCATTTAGTTAATTAGTTAATATTCGATTCATATAAATAAAGTTAGTCAGTTTTTTTTCTCCTCAAGAATGATCCTGTTTTCCTACAGTAGCTTTACATACTTTTTCTGTTTGAAATGTTGCATATTCTTGACAGACTGATTAAAGCTTGACCTGTTTTTTTTAGGTCTTTTTTTTTGCTCCACAATGTGATCAGATGATTAGTTAAGGATAAGCTAAACACAGTATATCTGCGCACATCTACCTCTTTGTCTGCACTGACACCCTCACTGATGCAACCACTCATGGTTTTTGTTTTCATCCTTTAACTGTGAGCCAATATATAGTCACGTGGATACTTTCTTGATGATGTGCACAGATCTGTCAGACCTTAAGTGACAGAGTGCTCAACCTATTCTTGTGACTTTGAGGAAAATAAAACCATGCAATAATTCCATTTTAAGTGCTCACAACAGAGATGTGTGTTAGCATATACTGTAGACTTGATAAGCTGTCCATTTTCCATGTTTTGTGGTATTCTTTTGATACAAATGCTGATTATGACGTAAAGAGCATATTGGGAAGGGCACTAATCTACAGATGTTTATACCAGTGAGGATCGGTCTGCATAATAGTTTTTGAAGTCTTTGTGCTTTTGTATTTTGTCACTTTTCGACCCTGCTGCAAACCAATAGGTGAGGATAATGTGAGGTTGCCAGAAGATTAAATGGTTAGATTTAGAAGTTATAAAATGCATGGGTATATATTTGTGCTTCATAGGTTTGAAGCACAGAGTTTCACAGTGTTGCATGAACAATCTCTGACAAAAGAAACATAGTAGCATAGTAGAAAATATCACCGTATCATATGTGACATGACGACCTAAATGTTTTAAATGTTTTAAAGGGAAAGCAAACTGAAATAGTTATCAAAATGTTTTCCTTTAGTGAGTTTTAAAAAAAAATTGCAAACATTCCAAAAACTGTTTTATTGTTTTATATGTTCTCTACTGACATATAATTCTTCATAAATTCAACATTACAGTATAATATAAAGTACTGTATTTAATGTATATCCTCTTTACAATAGGTCTTACTGCAGAAAGCACAAAGACAGTTTCATAAGTATTCATAAATTAGGTAACACTATAAGTATGATCTTCACTTCAGGAGAAGCAAACTGTTATTCAGTGCTGTCTTGGCCATGATGTCAGTCCTCAA